GGGTCTGTCTCATGCATGGGGGAATATGGAGGAATGAATAAAAGGAAATTATGGAAGTTGGAGTTTGTAATGGTGCTCGTTCTCATATATATATATATATATATATATATATATATATATATATATGTGAATGCAAAAAAAAGAAGATGCTCTTCCCTTCGAAAAGAAAAGACTTGGCTAAAAAAGCGGGGGTGGCTGACTTGTACCCTGGCAAAAGAGGAATATGAAATAGTGTTACTAGGTCGTTAGTTGCATCAACAATATATATGTAAGGGACCAGTTATATCTTAAGAACACGTCACTCATCTACCACAAGATTTATATTTGTAGACCTCCATGGTTCATGACATTAACTCTTAAAACCGGATTAAGTAATTTATGTTTCAATAACCAGAGGGTAATGAGCTGTTTGCAAAAATGACGAAGAGAGAAAAAAAATGATTTTCCACTTTAAACTAATTAGGCTCAATTAGTTATTTACAATTTAACAATAATTAATTTATCAATATATATAAAAATAATTTAGTTTTCCACAAGCAAAATAATAAATTTTCCACAATAAAAATAGTATAAAAATTTTATCGCATTGTTTTATAAATTATTATGCAATGTAATAGATCTTTTTGATATCGGGCATGTAAAATCGCACTCCTAGGCGGGATAAATTAAAATAGTGATCAAAGGCGACTTTATATAAAACTATTTTAATGACCGGTAACAAAACTTAAATAGATAAGAGACCGCGCGCTAATGAAAGGTCACGTGTGCGTGCATGCATGCATACCTGACATATTATCATCGTGTAGGTGCGTGCACAAACTTGCGGTCGAGACACACCCTATATATATATATAGAGAGAGAGAGAGAGACAGTGAGAGAAGTGAGAGGGGACCAACTGCGGGGTCCAAATAATATTTTAAAATTAATGTCATGCGGGGTCTTCCAAAGAGCACCTCTGGGCCACTGAACAACCGAAGAAGGAGCAAAGAGAAAGAGACAAGTTGGAAAGTCATATGTAGAAAAGTGAGGAAAGGAGAAAGAATCATTCAGGGACGAAGCAATTCGCATCCCTGAATTGCATAACTTTGACAACTAAACAGAAAAAAACTGAACTCAAAATGAGTAGCGTATGATACTCTCAGTGTAAAAAGAAAGTACTAAAGCAGTACCGATTTTAGGTATACCAAATGACAATTTACTACCTGAAGTCGGTATTAAATTAATACCTTTATTTTTACAGTGCATTTTCCCCGACACTCTAAGTGCAGCAAAAATGATCTGGTTTGACTCATTTTGAGTTTTTAGTGAAATGTTTCAAATTGAACCCAATTAGGTTTATTTTGAGTTCCAGATTAATGTTAAATTATCGTGGACAAACAAATTATTTATTAAATAAAATAATTGTTTTTAATAAACAAACGTATAGCCCTAAAGAAAACTTTAATTCTCAAAATTGATTTACACACGAAGAAAAATGGAAAAACGAATAAAATAACTTTTACGACTTTAAAAGTAAAACCTGAACCGTCCGCAGTTTCTGCGCATCTCTGGCAATTTTTACTCCAGAAATAGTAAAATTTACTATTTCTGGAATAATTTTAAGTATTTTAGGAATAAAAATTGCCAGAAATGCGCAGAAACTGCAGACAGTTTCGGTTTTACTTTTATAGTAAAAGTTACTTTATTCGTTTTTCCATTTTTCTTCGTGCACAAGTTAACGAAATTAAATAATAGAACTTTTAGGTTTGGAATCTTGATGACTTCATTGATAACTGTATCAGTGCCAATCATATAACGCAAAAGTATCTAAGCGCAAAAGGGGCTTAATTTAAAAATTGTTAAAAAAAAGTAAATATGTAATGAAAAAAAGTATAAATATGAAGAAAATTTTCATATTTTTACAAATTTTATTACACAAGAATTAAAGACATAAATATTCTCTAAGTATTATTTACTCTCATATTTATTTTATATAGTTTTCAAGATTCTGCACACTGAAAAAAAAATTTATTTGATTCAAATACCGGTGTATTTGGTTATTATCAAATAAATATTTACTTGAATCAAATATTTCAGTATTTGAAGCAAATACCATTTATTTGATTCAAGTAAATATTTATTTGATAATAACCAAATACACCGGTATTTCAATCAAATAAATTTTTTTTCACTGCAGTACCACCAATATAAAAATATCACAATGTAGAACATAACCTATATTTTTACAGTTTTTCGGTTTTTCTATTCAGATTCATTTTGAGTAATGTGAAGTTGTCTGTTAACTCATTTTGATGCAGAGCTCATAATGAGGTGCAGCAAAAATGAGTTCAGTTTTTCTCTGTGAAATTCTATTGTTAAAAAAAATATTTGCAATTTGGGTCAAGGATTCTTTAGAAATCAAAACAATTTTCGACACTCTAAGGAACATAAAGCAAATAGCACAAAATATTGCCACAATATTTCATGCCAATATTGCGAATATTGCACGGAAATATTGAGACAATATTGCTGCAACATTGACTTAACCAAAAAATTTAATTAGTTTCATTAAGTTAATTAATTTAATGTCTATATTTTTTAATTAATTTAATTTAGTTAATTCAAATAAAAATTTGGTTCATTACAATAAATGTATAAAATATTGAAAAATGCTGGATATAGTATTAATTTAATACTAAGGACTCTTTAAATGTCTGTCCGCCCCTGTAAAGATCGTGCGAAAGACTTGAAAGCAGGAGAAGAAGAGAGAACTTTATGAGAGAGAGAAAGAGAAAGAAAGAGAAAATATAAAAAAGAGATAAGCAAAAGAGAGTGAGACAAAAGTTTCGGGATCTCGCGAAAGACGAAAGAAAAAGGCCCCGGCATTCTTGCGCAGACGCAAACAAAGGGTATATCTTTCCTCTTATTCCAACCCTTGCGTTCCTAAACACTAATTTCAGTTGACAACTCTGTGCGAGAAATAAACAAAGAGAGAGAGAGAGAGAGAGAGAGAGAGAGAGAGAGAGAGAGAGAGAGAGAGAGAGAGAGAGAGAGAGAGAGAGAGAGAGAGAGAAATAAACAGAGAGAGAGAGAGAGAGAGAGAGAGAGAGAGAGAGAGAGAGAGAGAGAGAGAGAGAGAGAGAGAGAGAGAGAGAGAGAGAGAGAGAGAGAGAGAGAGAGAGAGAGCTAAAAAAATGTAGGTCCCCCCAATTTGCTAATTTTTCAATTTGTCCCTTTTATAACAGAGGGAATTGTTCATTATAAAATGTGATATCCGTTTTATAATTAAAATTAACCTTTTTGCAAGGTTTTTAATAAAATAAATTCTTTTTTAAGATAAACTTAAACTATAAATTAAAAATCAAAAAGAAAATTGTAACTAAATAAAATAATAAATTGTAACTCACACATTGATAAGAATTTGCGAATTTGATAACTCACCTATAACAGAAAAAGAAAACATTAATTAGAAAAAGTTGATTAACTAAAATATTCACTAAATAAAATATTAAATATTAACATATACCTAATAAAATTTTAAAATTATTCTCTAAATTTTAATTAGTTAAAAATAAATTATTTGATAACCAGTGTCAGTCATCGATTTAAACAGAAGAATATTTCTACTAAACGTTTAGTTAAAAATTAGTTAATTTCATTTTTAGGTTATTATGTGTATAATAATAATTACTTTATATTATAATTATTATTATATTTAGATATAATAATAAGTAGTTATGTTAATATTTCTACCTAATTTTTAGTTGAAAATAACAATTAGTTAATTCCAGTCTTAGGTTATGTTATAAAATAACTATAATTAATCAAATTTACTATTTTTTACCAGTTATTTTTCGACTGGAAATTAGTAATATTTTACTAATAATTAGTTATTATTTTTCTAATTACGGAAGCCTCGATTTTACTAAAAATTAGTTATACTAAAAATTAATTATTTATTTTTACTAATTCTTGAAGCAAAAATTCAGCTTCCATTTTCACTAAAAATTAGCTATTTTTTTAATAATTTTTTTACTCAGCCACGATTTTACTAAAAATTATTTATGTTTAACTAATTCAGATTTAGAGAATAATTAATTTACAATTAAGTAAATAATAATTAAGTTAGAAATAAGTCTTTTCTAATTTTCAAAATTCACGAATTTTAATTAACGCGTATAATTTTACAAGGTCAAACATATATACATATATGAAAGAAAAGGGTTTTTGGCAGCGGAAGGAATGCGTGTTCGAAGGACGTTGGTCCTTCGTTTTTGATAAATCAAGCCGAAGCCAGTCATGAGACGATAGTTCCAAGAAGAAGCAGAGTGTGAGAGAGCGCTCAGTGTGTGTAGGTCCTGGTGGGCACAAAAAAAAGAAGAAGAAAAAGGGAGAATGATTTAGTTTGCAGAATCGTGTATAAGGGGTTAAAAAGAGGGGGTTAGGGGGTATGAGGTGAAGGCGGAACTCGTGTTTGCTTAGATCCTAAATAAATCTAAAACCGCACCAAGTGGAATAATCGTCGGGAAATCAGAACGTTTTTGGGGTCCGTGCCGTGCCACTTTGTCTCGGGACCAAAAGTTTCGAGCGCACACCCCCCGCGTTGTTTAATTTATTTCCTTTTGCGCCATCTCACACACACACCGCATGTACAGTAGCATATTTTTTATTTTTTTTCCGCATATTAAGCCCCCCCCCACTAACATATTTTTTTATTTTTTTAAATATAATATTGAATATGTTTTTATAAATTTAAAATATTATTTTTTCCTTTTTTTATTCTCCTGACTTTTCTAGGTTAGTGATAATATTCAAAACAAGATAATAGAAGGTAAAATAGAATTTTTGAAAAAAAATTTGTTTTTTAGAAAAAAATAGTCAAAAATGATTTAATGTAATGACTTTTCTTTTAAAAACAAATGTCCCTATTGGTTAATAAATTAACACAGTTGACATAAAAATTGTAATAGAGGAAAAGTTATAAATACCAGTCAGGTATTTCTTCACAGTACATAAAAATTTTTTTCGTTATACTATTCTCTTATACTAATTATTTTAGAAACAAAAATTCAGAAAAAACGAATTAAAAATTAGTAAAATGAAGAAAATCATGTCAATTGGTATTTTTTGTTTAATTACAATATTTTTGCTATTGAATATTTTTAATTCTGCTACAGGAAGATATAGTAAGTAAAGCAATTTTAATATTTCAAGTTTTTTTTAAATATAAAGACTAATTTTTCTTCTTTTTATACTAGTTAAACATAGAGGACATAATAATCGTTGCATATGGGGTTGCTATTGGTACGAAGTTACTTGTCACGAAACATGGGATGATTGCTAAAGAAGACCATCGCTTTTAGAAAACTATTGACTATTTATTTCCTAAGAAAGCGAAAAAAAATCCAATTCAATTAATTTCTGCTGAAAGAAAAATTTTTTTATCCAAAAGTTGAGAATTTGTAAATTAAAAAAATGGAAAATTTTTATATTTTTGACAAAAAAAATTCTATTAATATACATTTTTAATATATTATGTCAATGTTTTCAATAATAAGTGTATAAATTTGAAATAAAGTAAATTTCAAAATTATTTTTTGTATAGTATTATATATATATATATAATAGACTATAATTGCAATATAAATAAACAGAAAAGAATATTGGTGATAAAAGCGTGAAAAAAATTTTTTTTTCGACACACCCTGTTTTGTATTTTGTGCATATATATATCTACGTGAGAATATTTTTGAAAGATCCGCTAATCAACTGATTAGTATATAAATAAATATAAAGGTAACTTTTAAAAACATCTCATTCCTTTAACATTTTGGTGATATGTGAAAATTGGCTGCAATAAGTATATAAGGTATATCTGACGGTCATTAGCGAGCGCAGGCTTTGGAATTCACAAGATAAAAACTTGAATTCAGTATAAGCATTACTTCACCAAAGAGTATACTTCCCATAAGAAATGGTCACAATGCGAAGGTCAGCTGATTATGACTGAATCGGTTTTGCGAAAAAGATTCAAGCACATAAACAATATATAAAAGGTATGTCGCGCATCATTTACTTTTTTAGACGCACACTCTTTTTAATCCTTAAAAAAAATTATTTTCCTTATTTATAAAATTGTTTACGCAAATCAAAAAGAAATAGTAAAAAAAGAATAATAAATAATTCCACAACAACAACCACAACTCCTATCAGTTAAAATTTTTACTTTAACGAATTTTATGAGTTGAATTATTTTTTAGACAAATTTTAATTTTTTAAATTAGCATTTGACAGAATTTTTTTTAAAACTAACTTAGCAAATTTTTAATTGATCAGAATTTTAAGTGATTCGAATTTTCAAATTCCAGAATTTCCAATTCACCGAATTTTCATTGGTACGCATTTTTATTTGTCGAAATCTTTCTGTCAATTGTTTATTCCGCCATTTGCAATTTCTGACAAATGGAAATTTGAACAAATAAAAATTCGGACAAACGAAGATTCGATAGAAAAATTCTGGAATTTAAAAATCCGAATTCTTTTCAATGAAAATTCTGCTAAATTAATATTCGATTAAATTATAATTCTAACCATTTATTTTTGTATTGAAAATTTATGTGATCGGAAATATTACAGAAATACGAAAGTTTTGTAGATCGGTATTAAAAAGCTTTCGCTTATGGTATTTGGAGTTCACGACTTTTAAAAAAGAATAAACTCTGAAACATAATATCTGAAATAATGGCAAATGCGATTGAAATCATTGGCAGACAGTGTTGCCATCGATTGGCGTGAAAATCTCACGAAATATACTGTATCCTTACTATACAGAGAAAGTTTATAAGGTTCAATCCATAATGCTTTCTTTAATCCTATACTTGTATAAAAGAGGCGAAAGTAACACCAAGACTTACACATATATATAATTCTCTTCCATATAACAAAAGATGTGTGGGCGAAATACGCTAAGGGACTCTTCTATTGTTCTCGGACATTGGTAAAAATATCGCGTTATTAATAGTTCATGTAGAACACAGGAAGTGATTCACACAAAACATATGAAATAAATTTCAATCTATTTGCAAATTTTCTCTTAGCTACAATTCTATAATTTATTTCTTTTAAGAATTTAAAAGAAAGAAACAAAAAATTTAAGTTTTAGAACATTTTTGAAATTTATTGTTTTTATTATTTGGAATGAATATTTTTTGCATTATAAAGGTTATACCTCAGTGGAAAGAAGGTTATATGTGTGCAGGTTAACAAAATAGATAAAATAGCGGGGGTATTATGAAAGCATGTCTTTTTTGGACCCCCGCTGAAAGCGGACGGCGAAATACCTCCGTTATTATAAATATCTTTACCTAAAGGCTAAAGCTACAGGCGTGGGATCGTGTATATACTCGACATACTGTCCGCCAGACAGTATCCTGACATGTTCGAACATGTTCGAACAAACATGACGTATTCCTCATCTGTAATGTTTCGCCTCTATTCAATCATTTTTTTCAAAACTGTTGGAAAAATTTTCAACCCGTTTTGACCTCGACGTTTATTTGTGTACCTTGGAAATCTTTTAAATTTCGGAAATGGTTAGGTTACGCCTAATAGAACGGATTTTATAAAAGGTTTTTAGATATACATTTTAAATATATAATATAAGAAAGAAAAAAACGAGATAAGGTTTGTTTGAAAAGATTCTTAATGTTGAACTCTAAAAATGCTAATCTTGTAAGTTTATCGTGTGGTGACTGCTTTGTGTGAATTCTTAAAGGGAGTTGTAATGTACCTGACTACTTCTTTCGTGAAAGCAATTCGTTGCTTGGGATACTAATCGAGAGCGAGAGACGCGTCCTCCACTCTCTTAGATTTCCATTTTATCTGTGTGTGTTTCTGATGTCACCACTCAACTTCGTTTTTTTTCAAAGAATTGATTATTGGTCATAGCTTTTGATCAAAATCTGACAATTAGTATTCATTTGAAATTTTTCATTCGATATTCATAAAAAAAAATTGCTTCTAAGAAGTATTTAGTAAAATAAATTTTAAAAAAATTTTACACAAATTCTTAATTTTAAAAAGAAGTTGTGAAATGGTAGCTACTTATTAAAGCGAGAAAAAAAAATCCCGTAAAGTGTTAAAATCATTTTTGAGATTGCTAAAGTGTTGTACAAACATCGTTTGCAGACTTTGCACAGGTATATATTTTTTTTTTGCAAATTGTACATTTTTAAATACCGTATGGATAAAATCTAAAATTTAGAAATTCGAATTATCGAAAAGAAAAATCCTTCAGCACACTTTAGGTGTGAAAACTAGGACAAATTATAATGTTTTTTGTATATATTCTAGTTGTGTCGTAGATAAATCAAAACTTTATGCTGTCTATTCTATATAGACAAGAATAGACTTTTCTCCAAATCATATATAATCACTCATTATTTCTCCGGTATAATTTATGGACTCTCGTAAAAAATGACAGAAGGGGTCATAAAGATGTAAACGTAAATTTTTTTTTTCCTAAACACAATGTATTATTTTAGCCTGAAAATACCAGCAATAATTTCTATGTTGACTATCGACTTGACATTTTCATTATTATCTACATGTATAAAAACTAATTGATGATTAATTTTATAGGTGTTACGTCAACTGTAAAAAAAGAAACAGAAATGTCTCAAACTAGAGAGATTTTTGACAATAAAAACTAAGTAAAATCAATAGGATTCGGGAAACTAAAATTATTAATTTGACGAGAACAAATGATTGCTAGGTTCGCTAGATCTAAGCAGATGATTTCTGATATAATTCGAGCGTCACATAAAATGACAGTACTTTTCCATTAACAATACTGTTAGAAATAAAACCGAACTAGAAGAAAAAGGGTAATTAAAATTTTAAAATTATATACGAAATGTGGTGAATGGCATCAGAGCCAAATACACATAATCATGCTTGTCGTCGTCGGTATATATATACAGAAGGATTGAAAGGGAGGTGGAAGACGGAGGGGAAGGTTTTTGAAACCGTGCCAAGGTGGGCGCAGTGTGGGCAAAGCTGCTCCCTCTCTCTCAAGGGGAAAAAAGACCTGAAAAAGGATCTCGAAGATATCCCTCGAGCAATCAAGCAACGGAGAAACGGTATGCCGTCCAGGAATTCCATTCGTTTTGTGTGCGGTTCCTGAATTCAATGAGACTTGAGAGAGTGGTTCGTGTATTCCCGCTGCGAGGACATTCTACGAGAAGAGGAGACACTTTTAGCCTCACACACACACACACATACGAAAATATGAAAAAGGACCTCGTTAATCGTGAGGGTGGGTCCTTTCATGTTTACCTTCTTGCGGGGGCCAAATCATCATTTCAATATTATACCGAACTTCTTTTTCAAACATTGTCAGATTTTAATCAATACTACACTTTTTTTGCCTATTAAATATTCATCTAATAATATCTCCTAAGAATCATCAATCCTTACAAAAATTTCTTTTTCTTAATGACAATAAAAAAAGTTTTTCATTTCATGATTACTTAAAAGTTAGGACACTGTTTCTCTGGGAGGAGACAGCCATTATTTAAGATTTCGAGCTTTGCGATATCAGCTAAAAAGTGCTCCTCCTACCCCTTTTTGGTGAATTATTTCACGTCCCTTTTGCTGCGAGTGGGGATATCCGAAACGACAATTGTGTTCGGCTTTCGCCTGAAAATGCCATCTCATCTTGGGTCGCATCGCTCATGCGTCGTTAGGACATACCGCTCGCGCGCGAGAGAGGACGCAGCAGCTCTTAAGCCCTTCTTATTCACCCGTGAGATGCGCTTAGTTTTTTGCCCAAGAATCACCCTGACTCTGATCAGTCATGTGATCCCATACGTTAAGAAATACAAACTGTCCAACCGCTCCTCCTTCTACTTATTTCAGTCACAAAAAAAAATTCTCTTTAATCCTGTCTGAAACAATTATTCTTTTATATATATACAGATATTATTTTCTACTCTCTTAATTTGAATTAGTAATTCCACTGGTATCATTCGCTGAAAAATCAGTGGAATTCCACTAATTCATATAAACTGATTGGAATCAGTGGTATATTTACAGCGAGATTTCGCTGATTCAAATTTAGAGATACCGAATATATAATAAATCAAAATCTGTTTAAAAAAAATTAGTTTTAGAAATTAGCAGCTCGAAAAGAAGTTTATTCAAAAGTAAATATATACGCAAAGTTGGGACGTAAAATCAGATTGTTTTTTATTTAAACGATCCATGTTTGACTGCAACCGTTTGAGTATTTGTTCAGTCCAACCTATCGCTCGAACTCAATCGCGTCCGGTGTTACCAGTATTCACTCCTCTTTCCCCACCAGTTTGATTTCTCCTTCTCTCTCTCTCTCTCTCTCTTTCTTGCCACGAGTCCCGAAGAAGACGTTGAAAAATGAGCATGATGATGATGATGATCATTATCACGATTGGAGCGACGTTTCTGACGAGGGGGCGAAGATGAGAAAAAAGAAGAGCAACCCATATAGATTTGACTATGATCACTGATGCGTTTCACAAGAAGGCAACATTTTTTTGAATCAGGGTCAATGTATTCGTAATTAAATTAATTGCTCGTCGTATTCATAATTCCCGTTTTTCGATTTTTAAATTGTAATAATGCTTGTTCAAAGATAAATATACAGTTCTATTATTTTCAAAACAAGATGTATTAATATAATTGTGACAGCTTTCGAATAACCGAACATTTTTCCAAAGAATCACTGACAAAAACTTTTTTTATATAGACAACCTCTATTATTTAGTCATTCTTCTCAAAATTCCACTTTTGTCATTACTCTCTTGATGGGGCTCATGATTATCACATAAAAAATAATTAATTTTTCATTTTAAAGAATTTTATTAAATATAATAATTAAATTGAATAGTTTCTATATGGGACAATCATGCGCCTTTAAATGACAAAAGTTTATATCGACATTAATTTAGAATAAAATTAACTTTTTTAATCCCATCCATAATTCAAAATTTTCGATCACCAAGGGACCAAATTACTATGGAATTATTAACGCAACGGATATGTTTTGCGATTTTTTTTCCCCCGCTTCGCAAAGATTCGAGACCAAGATTTAGAAGATGAGATTAACCATAACTCTCGTATGGAAGTTTTTCGTAGTTTTTCGCGATATTAAAAGAATCCCGAGATGGCAAAGGGAGAAGAAGCACGACCGGTCGTCGGCCAAAGACAATTTTTAAAGCTTTAAAAGACTTGAAAGAAATCATCCCTCGAATATTTTACTGTCTGTCCCGCTGTTGCGAATGCATAACAAAAAACCCACTCACGAAGAAAAGGATTCGGCGATATACGAAGTCAAAGTTGCAAAACCGACGACGAGAGAGATGGAGAGAGAGAGAGAACTCACAACCGGGGCAAAAACACCCGTTGATTCCCGAGGAGTCACAGATCCCACAGGGAGTGTATTCAATGCGGGAGCAAGGGAGAAAGAGAGAATCAAGAAAAGTGGGAGTTATCGAGAGCGAAGCGAAAAATTTGAAAGGAAAGAGGACAAAGAAAGAAGGATTAAAGAAGAAATGAGTGGATATAGGAAAGAAAGAGAGAAGAAGTACGAATCATTGGAGATGGAGGAGTTGGTATAGAGAAAGAATTAACTTATACCTACGAAAGTTTCAATGTCTGTATATGTATCTTTGTGTTCGTTTGAGATCAAGTTTTTCTCGAGTTCTGAACCTCCGAGAGCGAGCTGGGGCCTACTCGAATCCACGTTGACTTCCTGGCACGCGGTTCGTCTTGTCGTTTATTTCTCTCCTCCCATACACTCTCTCTCTCTCTCTACTTCACGATGTCTCCTCCATATCTGTGATCCCCTTCCACACGTTATCTCGCTTTGCTTGCCTACACGCCCCCTTATTCTTCCCTCTCGTGAATTCTCCGAGGATCATTACTTTCTGTCATTGCCTTTAATTACATCTGATTATTGTTATGCAACACGCTTGTTTCCCACTAACGGACATGTCGTTGGACCCAATGGCGAGGACAGCCCCAAGGCGAGATGCAAACTTCTTTATTCCGACTCTTGAAATATATATATAAATGGACCCACTACTCAATGTATTTTACGGTTGTTAACTTGAAAAATAAGAATTCCTCAAATATAATCATTTCACATTTAAATAAAGATTAATCAATAAGTAGATTTTTACAAACATTGAGAAAAAAATTAGTTTTATAATGTAAAAATGCGGAAAAAGATGTCTTCATTCTCGACACACTCATTACATTTATTACGATGAGAGAAATATACACTTCCTCCATCAAAATTTATGATGCAGAACAAAGTGAGCAAAGTTCCATCTATATACGAATAAAAAGAAACGATGAAGGGAATGATATATTTTTGTTAGGATGATGATTGTAAAAAAAAGACACTAATTATTTTTAAAACATCCTCCCCTATTATAACTGACACGTTTTTAAAACTATAAAAATTAAAAAAATCTTTCCTATACATGACGGACAAGAAAAACTTGAAAAAAATAACTGATATAGTTTCACTAAAAGAAAAAAAAACTTGAAAAAGAGTTTAAATACATCATATCAAGAAGATTGAATCAAAAGATTACAAGACTTTTTTCTTGAAATTTCTCAAGAAAACGGATATTTCACACGAAAAATGATTGCGTAACTTTATAACGAAACGAGATTTCGTGCACTAAGTTAACCTAAATTCGTGCAGATTTAATATTCATATTGATCTATGAACAATACTGAAGACGAAAACATGAATATATTTCATATATACAATTTTTCCCTGACAGAAACGGATTTTTAAATTGATTTAGGACTGCTTTTTTAATGTAACATAAAAAATTTAAAAACTCACCTTGGTTGAAGCGATGTTGGGTCTGCTGCCTCCAATCACGATAGCGTAAACTTCGACCTCGTACCATTGGACTCCAGCCTCTCTGTCAAGAACCGCTGCTGTTGATAGAACACCTGTTTTTGTATCCACGTCGAACAATCTTTCTACCTGAGGTCCACCACTGCCGGCAGTCACATTCGTCACGTAATACTCTAATTCGACATTCGATCTTCTGGTTCGCGCACTCACACGTAAAATACTCGCACCCGCCGCTTCATTTTCATAAACACTACCCTCCATTTGACTGTTATGCTCCCAAACTGGTGGGTCATCATTCTCACCCGGTACAATCAAAGTTATGTACGTTTCAGAAGATCTTCTTTCAGCTTGAACTGATTCATCAGTCGCGCGCACACCAACCTGATACCTCGAAACTCGTTCGAAATTCTTCAAAGAATTTGGCAATTTCATTGTCAATAAACCCGAACTTCGATGAATTCTAAACATATCGGAATAATTCACTCCCGATCTAAGTAACTCATAAGTGACCAATCCATTTGTACTTGAATCCAAATCCTTGGCATGTAAATGTGCAACAGGAATTTCTTTCCCTGGTTTATAATTTAAACCACCTTTCAAAGGCAACAATGCAGCTGACATACTGACAAATATCGGTGCATTATCATTAACATCGAGAACAATTACAATCACCAATTTTTCCGCAGACAATCTCGCCGATGGTGGTTGTGCTCTATCAGTTGCAACAACTGTCAATTTAAATGTATCAATTTCTTCTCTATCAATTGGCAAGAGTGTATGAATAACACCTGTCGAGGGATTAATACCAAAACGACGTTTTTGATCCTCGGGTTCTTGATAGGCAATTGCGTAACTAACGATACCGTTTTCTCCAGAATCGGGATCCTCAGCTGTTACTGTATGTATTGGACCGTGAACGGCAACTCCCTCATGTATCTGACGTACGATTGCAGTATTTGGAAAAGCCGGTGGATTGTCGTTTGTATCGATAACATTTACCCGCAACGTCGTTACACTACTTAATCTCGGATGTCCAGCATCACTGCATGTAATATTCAAAGTATAACTCACCAGATCTTCATAATCCAATGGCTTTCTCAAATAAAGTGCGCCTGTCATGGGATCAATTTGAAAAGTATCCTTTCTATTACCCGCAGTTATGGCAAATGTTAATTCACTATTTGGCCCTAAATCACTATCAGTCGCTTTAAATCTTAAAAACTCAGTATTAATAGGCGTTGTCTCTGGTACCGATATCTCTGATTTATTGTCCACAAAGATTGGTGTATTGTCATTTTCGTCGAGAACTTCGACCTGCACTAAAGCACTCGAGGAAAGTCTCTTTTCCATACTTGCATCGTGAGCCACTACTGTAAGATGATACACGTCCAGGGTCTCTCGATCAAGGGACTTGGCTAAAGAAATTTGTCCTGTCGCTTCGTCGATCATAAAACGACCCTGTTGATTACCGTCCTCCAATGAGTAAAATACATCACCGTTTAAACTCTCATCCGCATCCGATGTGTAGACTCGTAATAGTTGCATTCCTATGGCCGCACCTTCACTCACTTGAACCCGGTAGGGCAACCTCAGAAACTTGGGTGTATTGTCATTAACGTCGGTAATGTATACGGTGACCTTAACCCTGTCTCTTAGACGATTTAGTCCATTGTCGGTAACAGTAGCCTCGAGGGTGATGTAACTACCACCAGTATTGGCAACCAATTGCTCACGATCAAAAACATGCAAAGATTTAATGAAACCATTTCTTGGATCAACAGTAAAATCCTGTTGAGTTGCTGGAAGAGAAAATGTTAAATCTGCATTTCGTCCAACGTCACGATCTGTTGCCTGTAATTTACCAACAAACGTATCAGGTGGTTCATTTTCCCGTAGTTGAAACGTGAAATTAGAATTTATAAATTGTGGAGCATTGTCGTTCTCATCGATAATATGCACAACAACCGGAACAATTGAACTTCTACTTGGATTACCTTGATCACTGGCCGTTACTTCAAGAGCATAATAATCCTGCTCCTCTCTATCTAGGGCATTTTTTACATAAAGTTGACCATCGGGAAATATTCCAAAGCGTCCCTCTGTATTACCATCAGTCACACGATACAAAACTCTTCCATTTGAACCAAGATCAACATCCGATGCAACAAGTGCAAAAAATCGTTCGTTCACTGGTGTAGATTCGGGTAAAGAAGTTTCGTAACTCGTCAACTTGAAAACCGGTGTATGATCATTAACATCCTCGATAGTAACTCGCACCTGCTGCTGGGCAGAAAGGGGTGGATTTCCAGAATCCATTGCTGTTACTTCTAACTGTAATACCGTACCCGGAGGAGACCTCACAGGTCTGTCCAAATAAATTATTCCAGTATTTTCAGCAACTCGAAATTGGTCTCCAGGATTGTATGTCAAGGAATATGTGACACGCGCATTTGCTCCTGCATCACGATCCTTCGCCCTTGCTAAACATATTTCTTGTCCGACTGCCGCATTTTCTTTAAGAAAAACTTCATCTCTATCGCCTTTGGGAAATTTCGGAGAATTATCATTGATATCAAGAACAGTTATATTAACAGCTGTTATACCATGTGCTAATCCTGCTCGAGCAGCAACCTGCAAACTGTAATAAGCCACTTGTTCACGATCGAGACAACCAGCTGTTGTAATTACACCTGAATTTTCATCAATTTTAAAATTTCCCTTCGAATCACCAAATATTATAGAATAAGATACTTTCGAATTACTGTACTGTGCTATTTGAATATTTCCCACTTCTCTGCCGAAATTCGACGATAATTCATTGCATTCACCTCTGTCCTCGGTTATACGAAACTCATAGCCGTTGTAAGTATCAAATTCCAAATGCTCGAGATCTTCTTCCCTTAGGATCTCGACAACCGCATTTTTGGCTGCGGTTTTATCTCCAGAATCACTTGCCGATATCGTTAATTCGTAGAGAATTTTGTGAGCAGCTCTCAATGATCCTTGTAAAATAATTTCACCTGTTCTTTCATCAATAACAAAAAGTCCCTCACCACCGGATTCTAATGTGTATTTTATTTGTGCATTTTCTCTTGTATCTGCATCGGTTGCCATTACTTTTCCAATAGAAGTTCCTGGTAAAGCATCTTCTGGCACTGGCATCAGATAAGTTCGCGGATAGAAAACGGGTGCATTGTCATTGACGTCATCTAAAGTTAAAAGCACCGTTGCTGTCGATGATTGCGGTGGATTACCCTGATCTTTTGCAATAACTAAAATTTTATAATTCGACGTTATTTCACGATCTAAATTGGTTTTTGTTGTCAACTGGCCTGTTAATGCGTCCAAGGCAAATGTCTTTGGATGTTCTATCAATATGCTTGGATGAAGACTATAAGCTACACTTCCATTAGTTCCTTGATCGTTATCGACTGCCGATAAAGTAGCGACTAAACTGTGCGATGGTATATTTTCCGAAAGATGTACTTCGACGATACTTTGCGAGAATTTTGGTGCTTCGTCATTCTCGTCTAAAATCGTAACTCGTAAATGCGTTGAAACATATTTGGGATTTGGACCACCATCTCGAGCGGAAACGCGTAATTCAACACTACCTTGTATTTCTCTATCTAAAGTCGCGATCGTAGTGACCAAACCAGTATCTTGATCAATGGCAAACCAGCCTTGTTCGTTACCTGAGTCGAAGTCGTAATAGATTCTTGCATTGAGCCCGGAATCGGCATCGGTTGCGGAAATACTTGCCACAAAACTGCCAATGGGAGATAGTTCTGATAACACTGCTGAATATTCACTTTGTTGAAATACCGGTTCGTGATCGTTGACGTCGTTAACGTGGATCACGAGATAAGCCGTTGCCGATCGCGGTGGTGTACCTTTATCAGTAGCAACAATAGTCAAGTTATATTTTGGAATTTCCTCCCTATCCAATCGGCCATTAACACGTACAATATGAAAATTTTGCGCATTATGACCGAGACGAAAGTGGCCTAATTCATTTCCTGCTCGAATGTCAACAATTGTTTCTCCATTGAGTCCCTCGTCATTGTCAATTACTGCAACGGCAGCCACTATTGAATCTTTAATAGCATTTTCATCGACAGTTGCAATACCCGCGATCGCGGGAAAATAACTGAATTTTATCTCGGGATCGTGATCGTTTGCATCTAATAGGTTCACAGTGACGTAAGTTCGTCCGTCTTGCCTCGGTGAACCATGATCGCGGGCGAAAACCGTTATAACACAACTTTTAGGACAAGCACTACCAGGTCGAGCAATTGTACAACTTTGCTGAGGACAATTCAAGGCTTCGGCTGTTGTAATTGTACCTGTTTCAGGGTCTATCGTAAATTGCCTCTCCATATCTGGAAGATAGTACGTCAGTTTCGAATTATCGTCGGAATCTTTGTCGGTGGCGTGTACAGTGAGCACCTTGGTTCCAACCGGAGCACTTTCATTCAATGCGACAACATAATCGCTTTGTTGAAATACCGGTGGATTGTCATTGACGTCCAATACTGTCACGTTCACTAAAAGGTAACCCAATCGCGGCGGACGTCCTCTATCCCGAGCACAAACATTCAAAGAATAAAATTCGACCTGCTCTCTATCTAATTTTCCCGTGGTTTCCAAATGAAGATATGTCGTTTCACCAGTTGGATTTCCAGTGACAGAAAGCCGAAACTTCCCGTCTGTATTACCGTCGACGATAAAATAATCATCAACGACACCATTCTCAGGGGTATCTTTGTCCGTGGCAGCATCCAATAAAAGCTTTGTTCCAGCAGCTGCAGATTCTGAGAAACTTACAGCGATACTCGATTCAGGAAATTCAGGATTGTTGTCATTGATGTCAAGTACCAGGATCCTTACTTCTATGGGGTATGTCGGTTGACTCGAGAGAACAACGAGGTCAAATCTATCGCTACCCAGTGATTCTCGATCCAATACAATCGCTGTTTTAATTTTGCCCGTTACTGGATCCAAGGTGAACTCTTGTGGTGGTTCATTAAAACGGTACGTGAAACCGGGTTTCACTGGTATCGTACCCACCAACATACCTTTTGGTTCTCCTTCTTTTACTTCCAATTGAACCCTCGTATCCACTGCTCTACTCTGCATAACCAAACCCATATTAGCACCATCCTGGGGCAACATTGGCGACCTTCGTGGTACCAATCTCGCAACCTTTTGAGGTAGGTTATTCTCAGCCCGTCCGCCATTTTGGTCCGTCGAGAGTAGGCCCAGGACCAGGGCCAAAAATGCAAATTTAAAGGGCATCTTTATCCCCCCTTTTTTTTCTACAATTCCCAATCGCTACCTATTATTTCTCATTTTTGATTGACTCCTCATCATCCTCAAAATGTTGATCATTGAAAATTTTCTTGTATTAAATTTAACGCGAACATGTTTTCTGAAGCATCTTGAAAATTTTTCTCTCCTCAATGACCAGATCGAATTCGCGATAATCGGCAAGAGACCAGACTCTTTATCGCTCTTAAAATTCAAGTAAACACGGCACGAGAATTCTCGGGGTACAGAGAGATATTGAGAGAGTGGGGGCACTGACCGAGAGCCGCGCCTCGCGAGAAGCGTCTTCAATCCTTCGCTCAAGATGTTGTTCAAGTCTCTTTTCGAACTTCTCAAACAGTAGGGCTATTGTTCTCACACATGATTCGCCCACTGTAACGAAAGATAACAATTTTCCCTGGTATCACTTCTTTCCTGCTTTTTATATTCTTACCCACGAAAAAAATGTAAAAGAATCGAAATAATTCGGTGCCCGGGTTTAAAAAATATTTTTTTTATATCACAATTTCATACCGTATGTCATTGTATTTTGTATCCAATCACATTCGTCGATGATGCACGTCAGGATCAATGTCCCTTCGCCACCTTGCGATGTTACTAGTCCTTGGGGGTACCACTTCTATTCCACTTTGAAACACACTTCGCGAAGAACACAAACACACTTCTTTTCCAAGTTACAAACAAAAAACAAACTGTAACAAAAAAAGAGAAAAATAATCTTTAACACTTGTATATATGTATTTGTGGCACTTTTTTTATCCAATACTGAAATATAAGGCACAGGTAATGGTCCATATAAGAGAATATAAACCGATTTTTATTTTTTCAGGAAAGGTATAAAAAAAACTTATTGTCACGTGAGTCAAATTTACGCACGGTTAATAATAGTTGGGCAACTTTTTTTTTTGTTTCTCTCTCTTGAACGCGAAAGACACGTGAAAAACGTGGAGAGAGAAGAACTTGTTTTTAAAAAATAGAGAGAGAGAGAGATGCGCCTCAACATAAAATAACCTTTCCTGAGGAATGATCCGACTCAACTAACTGTCGGGGACCCGAGCACCAGGTAAGTTGCCAGAGAGAACATTCTTCCAAGCTGACGCCGTCCCTCTCCAATCCATCGGGCCCAAGGGGCTCTCCTTTCTCACTCTCTCGCGCCACAACCTGTCTCCCCTCGTCTCCCCTTTTGCCCTCAAGGAACGAGCAATGCGGAATTCAAGATGGCCGCGGTGGAGTCCTGGGCCTGAGAATGAGAGAAAGAGAGGGAGGGAGAGAGAGAGAAAAAAAGGAGAGAGAGATAGAGTAGAAAAGAGGGACCAAGAGAAGGAAAAAGAAAAAGGAGGAGGAAGGAGCCTAAGCACAGGACTCTGGTCCAGGCCTGGCGCTGCATCCATCTAAGCTTAGGCTATTACCGCGATCAAATCTTGCTCTTTACTTTAGTCCGGTTTATCATCGAAAGACAGATGATTTCATCATTAGAATTCAAATTCTTTTTGTATCAACAATTTTTTTCCTTTTTATAATAATAATAATAATTCTATCCATATTTGAAATAATAACAATAATAATGATAATAATTTGTTTTTAATAAACAATTTAAATCCATTCTGTTTTTTTAGTTATTGTTTCTATTAATATATGATAAATTAATGAACATTGAAGAACTCAAAAATGAATTAATTATATTATAGCAAATAAATATTGAAAAAAATAATTTTTTTTCAGTTTGATCATATTAATAAATATGCAACAAAATTAAAATATCTGAAAAATAATAATAATCGAAATATTTATCAATCATTGTTAAAATAAAACTGTGAGTTCTATTTTCGAAGTTCTATTTTTTTCTAATTTTTTTTTTCTATTTTCTAATTATCAATGCAGATAATTCTTATATGGAGAAATTTGCAAGAAAATGTGTCAGTTTATATATGGTAAAATCTTCACTTCCCTTATATATATATATATAAATTTGACATTAATGAGTGAAAATAAAGTGATCCTTGATTTTAAAGTGAAAAGCCAGTTTTGATAATAATAATTTCCAAGACTGACCTAACGATTTAGTTATCCTTATCTCATGAGTTACAACTACACTTTCTAAGCGTTTATATTAAAAGCACCAAGAAAGCAATAAAAGCATAATTAATAGATTACCTAATGGTTATGAATATTTCTTCATTTACTGACTACCAAAGTATATAATTTTATATTTTCAAATTGTCCTTATATGAAGAGAATTCAAATTATTAAAAAAAAATTAATAAAAAAACAATAATAAATAAATAATAACAAATCTGTAATAAAAAAAAAAATAAATCCATAATAGTAAAAAGACAATAATAAATCAGGGTTGCCACAAAAATATTTTTTTTCTCCTGATTTCCAATCCGATTTTAAATTTTTTCCCTCACTCTAATGAAAATATTTCAAGAGTTTTTCAATTATAAAAAAATTAACTCTCTAAATCTGAATTAGTAAAAAGTGAGCTACTAATTTAAATTTGTAAGAATTTTTACTAATTTTAAATCACTAAAAATTTGACTAAAAATTAGTAAAAATTGTTAATAATGTGAATTAGTAGCTCACTTTTCACTAATTCAAATTTAAAGAAAAGACAATAATTTGAATTGAAAATTTCAAAAATTATAATTTTAGTAGCATTTTTAGAAATTTGATATTTTCCCAGTACTTTTCATAAAGTTCCCTGACATTTTCCTGATTTCTCTGACCTGTGGCAACCCTGTAAAAAATAATAAAAAACAATAATAAATAAATAACAAATCCATAATAATAAAAAACAGTAATAATAAATAATAATAAATAATAAAAAATGTATAATATTTAGAAACAAGAAAAATAATTGCAAATAATTGAAATCAAAATGAAAAGTCTAAATCATTTAAATCCGACTTATCAATCAAATTGAAAATCATCTCAATATCTCATTTGAAATTGAGGATCACATCAAAATAAATGTCGTAAAATTTCTTTTTATATATTAACTTACTAGTGTTGCTGCGTGATGACAGAAAATTTATATTGTCCATAAGCGCATTGGTAAAAGATCGTTTTCATAAACCCTGTCATAAGAAGAATAAAGCGCACAACCAGAGTTCAACATCCTGCATGTTTTAATGTAAAGGAAGAATTACTATTGCTTGCTCGCACCCTCACATGATTAATATCCATCGTTCCACTGTATATATAGTATCGTATATGCATGCGTATGCCATTTATTCGCGCGATATTAGAAAGAGCACATAAGAATCAAACTCTGCCAAGACTGACATTTATTCTGACAATGGAATGAAAAAAAAAAAAAAATTCATTTATATAGGTATACCTTTAGCAATTGTGAAATTCAAGTTTCTAAGCCACAATTAAACATCCATTGATGCCATGTCAAAATGGACGTTTCAATTGACAATAACATTTTCATTTAAATGCATTAACTATTCATAACGAGAAATATATTTTTTTTTCAAATAATGTATTTCAAATTTTTCGCCATATGAAAATATTTTATTCTAAATTTAAGAATATGAATACTATACAATGGAAATTATTTTATACATTTCAAAATACTGCGATTTAAAATTAAAATTACATATGCATTCTATTCTTTTAAAAAAAAAGAATATTTTCTTTTTCTAAGCGCTTCTTAATGAAAATCGAGAAAAATATTCTTAAAATAAAAAGCAGCTTAAGAATATTTTTCTCATGAAGTAAAATTGAAAAAATAATTTTTTGAAGTATTTTATATGAATTTAATTTTTTTACACGAGAAAATATTAAATATGATTTAAAAATTAATATAGACTTGTTGAAACTTGTAAAAAAAATGGAAAGGTCAGTGAATTAAACTGTGTCGAACAGTATAAAATTCTGCAACCAAAATGAGGATTCTGAGAATCGTTGTCTACATCTGTTACATATATCTTTTTCTTAGGAGAGTAGGGTTAGCATATATATTCTTTATTTCTTTCACAAACTATATATCCATGGTCAGCTCAGCAAAGTCTATGTTAACCAAATTTCTTTCAGTGCTGCTATATTTTTTTTTCTTGCCACTAAAGCTCAAATTAGTTGCAATACTTTTCGTTTTCTTTTCTCAAACAAACGTTCAAATTTAAATAAATGTTTCAAAGAACTATTTAAGTCTAACACTGTTTAATATATATTTTTCTTTTAAAAAGTGTTAAAAGGACTTGGTTCTCTAGATATAATTGGAATTTTTTTATTTAAATTCAATTTGCGACTAAAAAATTTAATTTAAAAATTAAAATTTTTAAAAAGTTTAAATATTATTTTATCAATATTAAAAAATATATAAATAAATAATGAAAAAATCTACTAAATTAAAATAATAAAAAAAAATCCGCAATAAAAAATATTAATAAATAAATAATATATAATAAATAAAATAAATTAGTAAAAAATGTATAATATTCAAAATTAAGAAAAATAGTTACAAATAATTTAAACGATATTAAAACAATATAATAAAATAATTTATATTTTCATTAAATGCAGCATATTCATTTCTTAAATCATGTAGTTCCCATTTTAAATTATTTCAATTCTTTCCAAAAAATTGTGTAAATTAAATTATAATTATTATTAACATATAGTAATTTTTAAAAACAGAATTATTTTTGTTCACATTTTTACAACGAAAAATATTCTTATCGAAAATAGTTAAAAAATTTTGTGTCTAATAATTTATCTTGATAATATAATTATTTTCGACCTTCATTTGTTACTTTGTTGCAGTTAGTTCAGTACATTGGTCAAGTATTTCAATTTAGTTTCGTATTTTTCTCATTATAACTAATTTTTGCAAATAAAAATATTGTGAAATATCAATGACAATGAAATTAATATTAATTTATTTAATCACACTCGTTATGTTATTGAGTGTAAATAAAATAATTTTAGCAACAAAAGGTAATTTAAAAAAATGTATTTTTATCTCGATTTTTACTAAGGCATAATTTATCTTAAATTAATTTTAATAATGTGAAATGTTTTCTTTTCGAATATATATATAGTTACAATACAAAGTGGGGAAGATTGTTATCATATATGCTCCGGTTTAAAAGAGGCAATATTTGGTTGCTCCCCAGGATGGAAGAAATGCTAATTTTAAGATATTAAAAAAATTTTTCGCAACAAATTAAATTGATTAATTGAAAAATAAAGAGTAAATAAAATTATTGGATATCACTAAATTACAACATATCAGAAACATAAATTAAACAAGAATTTTATATATTCGCCCCTAGGAGTTCGCCCTTTTAATCTTTTTGAATATAACAAACGTGTTTAACTTTCGGCGATGAAAAAAAAAGAAAAGAAAAAAATGTAATGTCGCCTCAAGTAAGAAAATAAATGCTAAGCTTTCATGGGTCATACTTCTAGGCTCCTTCGCCTACATTGCGAACTATAATTAAACTGGGGCTAAAGAACAACCGGATAGGAATCTTCTTACTCCCTAGTTATAATTTTTCACCCACGCTCAATACCTTATTATTAACTCATCGACACAAGGACGTTATATTCGCAAGTTATTTAGCAGTATATATGATTCTAACGGTAAATATATTTAACTGTTTAAGAAATGAATATCCTGCACTTAACTATTTCATTATTATTATTATGTGTGTACTTTGAGAATTCAGGATCGTATTTCAGACTCATATTCATTTTTCAATTAAACAAACTATAAAAATATATTTTTCATTTCTTCCTGAGAAAAGTGATCCTTATTTTTTTTTCTATTAAAATTTTTTCTATAAAAATGATAAAAGTTTGGAAAAAGGAGACACATTTGGGATCAGAATTAATGACTGTAATTCTATAATGCAGTATATTGCTATAAAATATATCCTTATAACTAAAGACGCTATAGTAAAAATACTTAAAATATTAAACATTAGAAAATTAATTAATTAAAAAAAAAAAAACGTACTTTAAGTTTTAGGGGCGCCATATGCGTCGGGCATTCTTTCGATCGTATATCGATGTTGAGCAACATACATGATTGGTACACCTGGAATTTTGCGAATTCTCCTCTTTAAGTCCTTGTCATTAGTGGCAACAATGTAACATTTGTGCTGGAAAAAAATTATTTTAATTTATAAATTTTTATATCAACTATTATCAGGGACAGAAAAAATCGGATAAAAAAAATTAAAAAAAACTCTACTACAGCAGAAAAATAATTATTAAATAAAAAACAAATGCATATTATAAAATTTTTCAGTAGAAAATCACTATTAATATAAATAACTAGCTGTCGCACCCGTCTTCGACGGTTGTAATATTTAGATTTAATAAATTTTGAAATTTATAATTACATCCAACTATACGTGTTCTCCTGTATTAAAATATCGTTTTATAAATTTTTAATTATTATTTATTCAATTCAATTTAACTTTTTCACTGCTTTCATATATAAAATTAAATTATTTTCATTTTATTGAAAAGAAATTTTTCTATTAAAAATTTATTCTTCAAATAATTTTTAAAGTTTTTTAAAATTTTAATTTAAATTGTATTGATTCAAATAATTTATATTTTCAATACTATAAAATTAAATACAATTTTAAATTATTTTAATTTTATTCTTCTAATTTTTAAACGATTTTAATTTTTTTAAATTTTAATTATAATAATAAAAATATTAATTTATTTGAATTATTTAAATAATTATAAGTATATTTAAATTAAAATAATTTATTATAAATATAAATTTTATAATAAATATTTGAAAAATTATTTTATTATTTTTATTCTTACATTTTTAAAAGAAATGCTCAATTTCAATACATTTTTCAATTACGATAATTTAAAAATTATGGTTATGAAATTTTTTAAATTGAAGGCAATTTCACTCTTAATAACATGATGTTCATTGATTTATAATTTTGACAGATTGAAGCATCTTCAAAAACAATATTTGAATTTTGTCGAAACAATAATAATAATAATAATTTAAATATAATAATTGTTAATTTCAAAGAGTAAAAAAGTAATTTTCGATTTTTTATTTTTACAATATCTGATTTCATATTCAGATTTGCAATTATTAATTTTAAAATTCTGATAAAATTCTTAAAATTTCTTGTTAAAAGCATACTTAATTGGTCACAAAATTTTAAATAAAGAACGTTTAGTAAAGAATTATCAAAAAATAAAAAATGTTAAATTTTTTAAATTTTTTGAAAGTGTCATATTTTTGTTTAAATTAATATTTTTCATTGGTGTGCATCTGAGATTGCGTTTAATACCCAACAGACTAAAAACATTATTGTTTTGCTTATAAAAAGTTGAACATAACGAATTTTTATATTACAATGTTATTAAAAAAATTGGAAATTCAAAAATTTAATTTAGACTTTTAAATTCAGACTATTTACTTAATTTAATAAAAAAATTGATTGTATTTATGTGAAAAAATTAGGTACAAATAGTTTCAAATCAATCTGACAAAAAATAAAAAATTTGCATTTTTTTGATTTTTTTAAATTTTTTGAAAAAATGTCATAACTTTCGTTCATGATAATATTTTTTAATCAAATATGGCTAAGATTTTAAGTTACGTTAAGACTGAATACACTGCCAAGTTTCACCTCAATCGGTTGAGCCGTTTTAAAGTTGTGCCGGTACAAAATATTGACGACAGACAGACAGAATTTTTATTTATGGCATATTTGTTATCTTTACTACTTAAAATGATAAACTATGCAAGAAAAAATTAATTTGGAGCAATGTACAGACAAAAGTCTGATTTTATTAATATAGATAATATATTAACTAATTAATGATATTATATTAAATTGAAAATTCATTTTTTTGGTTTGGGGTCATTCAAGTATTACGTAAGAATTTTTAAACATACATAAGCATGTTGTAATGGAAAAAATAAGAAATTTTATAAGAATAAAAATCTCATATGACCCAAAAAAATTTAAATAAAATTGCTGAAATCATTAAAAATTATTTAGATCGAACCTTGCTAATTCATTTAAAAAAAAAGTACTCACAATAATTTTTGCACAAGTTCTTACGTTTTCTCAGAAGACAGAGGTGCAGCTTAAAATTTTAATTTAACTTTCAATTGGTAATTTAAAAAAATTTAATTTTAAACTTTTAAATTAAAATCTTTTTGAAAAAATTTGTTTCTAAAGTATTTACTCACTTGCATTACTCTGTTGACTATACAATCATCAGCATATGTGCCTCTATGATTACATGGTAATTTTTCAAATCGAGGATCTTTTATTATTTTCAAAGCAATTTTATATTTAGGTCCAAGTTTTTCCAATTCGCCTAAAACACAATCTGTTACATATGGTATACATTTTGCATACAAACATTCCTCCATGCTTTGAATAATATCAAGTTTATTTTTAATTGAGAAATTAACGAAATTTGTGTCGATTACAATGTGATATGGTGGTCCCAATTGAGTGTTATATTCAAAGAAAAGTGCTGAAGATTGTTGTGGTCTGAAATTTAAATTATCAACTATTTAATACAAAATTTATTTAAATAATTAATATATAATTTAATTTTAATCTTACAAATCTTTAACTTTCTCTTTGGCATCTTCGGGCTTTTTGTTTTTAGATGTTGCACGTTTCTCAGGTTTTCTAAAAAATATAAAATATGATTTAAAATTTTTAAATCACTAATTTCTTTAAGCCTTAAGGAAAATAATTTGTTTTTTAAAAATGCCATTTTTCCATGACTAAAATAAACAAGAATGACAAGAATTTTATTATACTACATTTCTTGTAGTGAAAACATTTTTTTTTCATCCCCTTTAGGCAGTAAGTTTTATAGGTATTTTACATTCAATATAAAAGCATAAATATAAAAATCGTAGAATTATTTATAGTTTAAAATGTATACTTTAAATTATGAAGACAAGTGAGTCAAAGTATACGCGTTTTGTATAGTTGAAAAATAATAGTGTAATAATTCATTCGTAATAACAATTTTATAGTCGATAACTGGTTTCATTAGTAAAAAAAAGAAAGTAAAGAAGTAATAATGATATTTAAAAAATTTAAGCATCAAATAATATATTTTAATTATATTTAAATATTTTCAATGTTAACTATTCACTAAATGATCAATTTTTCAAAAATATATCACATTGTCAACTTATATTTTATTCGTATAAAATGTACACTTACATTCTAGGATCATTAGGATTGATCATTTTTTTCATTTGTGCAAACTTCTGCATTACCACTCTTCGAGTTCTTTTATTTTTCCCCTGAAATAATTAATTACATATTTAAATAAAACCCTAAAAAATAAATTTTCAAAAATATGTTATGGAAATTTCTTGAAACATAACCTCACTTTCAACACGTGTTATGTATTTCATGTTTATATTTATCAATTTCAAAATTTATGATATTTTTCTGCAAAATATTGAATACTTACCATTTTGAACAATTAATTAGTTATTTATTACAACTATATGCCTTAGATTTATAAATTTTATAAATTTTTTATCGAGAAACACTCTGGACACACGACAATAAACGGACTTTTAAACATCTAAACACTCATTGGCTGAAAATTAGTTTGCCTTTTCGACACGTCCATTGAACAATTTTCCCGCCATTCTTTTGAATATTAAATAGTCATTATTAATTTAGAAGGAAAATGTAAATACTAAATAGTTCAGTAAATTATTATAATAATAGAATTTATAAATTAGAAAAATAAATATTCTTTTAAATTTAATCACAATATATTATTCAATTACAGTTCGAGAATATCCGAATGAAGTGAATGCCAACGCTTGGAAAGTGGACACTTGGACAGACGTCAGACAGGCATATGCCATGATGGCATGATTGTCAATAAATAACGGGTGTTTTTTAGTATTGTATATTTGTCGCATTTATACCAGAAATAAAATAAAAAGGGCAATAATTAAACAGTATTTATATAAATTCAAGTCATTCCGTTTAATTCCATATGCAAGGTGAGTGAAATATTTCATTTATAAATTAAATAGCAACAAGTCATAACAAATAGGTTAAGATGTTAATGACCACGGTGACATTTACAAACACATTTGACCGAAATTCTTCTTTTTTTTAATATATTCCAAATATTTAAAAATAATAATAACATAATAATCAGTGTATGAACAATTTAAATGTTTGGACAAGTTTTAAAGTAAATAATAATTATTTGTGTAGAGATATATTTGTTTGTTCACTGCGATATCAGGAAAAAACATAATTATTCAAATTTTATTTTTACAGTACGTAAAATTATTCAAACATGCGAATTGTGCAGATAAGAAGAAACCGCTTATTTCAATTATGTGCTTGGCTTTGCTTTGCCACTGTACTAATTTATGCATTTTTATCTTTCGCTTCGAAAGATCATGTTAACTCCATTAAAGGATATTTAATCAAAGACTCTGTACAGGTAATGTCTATTTTTCAATTTTTTTATTTAATTTTGAAATATAGTTCCAAGTAACAAAATCCAAAGACTTCTGTTAATTTGGATACCTAATGAAAGTTTTACATTTTTTTCAGGAACCTGTTTTAGTTGATGGATTAGGTAATTTTGAGCTTAAAAATGTGGAACCAAGAAGTGGACCAGGGGAAAATGGAAAAGCGCATATTTTAAGGGAGGATCAACAAAATGATGTTCAACAATCGGAAGCAGAATATGGAATGAATATGGTGTGCTCTGATGAAATTTCTTTAGATAGATCAATTCCAGATTCAAGACCTGATGAGTATGTGATACCTTTTTTCTAACTAATTAATTTATTTTAAATAATAAGAAAAAAATTGATTAATTGAAATTTTTTCATAGATGCAAGCATTGGAACTATCCTAATAATTTGCCACGTACAAGTGTGATTATTGTTTTTCATAATGAAGGTTTTTCAGTTTTAATGAGAACAGTTCATAGCGTAATTAACAGGACCCCACCTCAATTTTTAGAAGAAGTTCTACTCGTTGACGATTTTTCTGATAAAGGTTCGGCTATTTAATTTTTCATTTTTTATTTGTATAAATTATAATAAATATTTATTTGTTTATACAATTTACAGAAAATTTGCGAGGAGAATTGGAGTCTTACATTGAAAAATGGGATGGAAAAGTAAAATTGATAAGAAATCATGAGAGACAAGGTTTAATTCGAACCAGATCACGTGGAGCTCGCGAAGCAACAGGAGAAGTTATTGTCTTTTTAGATGCACATTGTGAAGTTAATGTCAATTGGTTACCTCCTTTATTAGCACCAATAGCTCTAAACAGGTTTGAAATTTAGTTTTTTAATAATTGATAATTTAAAAAAAGGAAAATAACATTTGTTTCATCGCAGTAATGTTATGACTGTTCCTGTAATCGATGGAGTTGATCACAAGACTTTTGAATATCGTCAAGTTTATCATGAAGGACGTCTATATAGAGGAATTTTTGAATGGGGAATGTTGTATAAAGAAAATGAATTGCCAAATAGAGAGGGGAAAACTCGAGCTCACAATAGTATGCCATACAGGTAAATTTTGTGATAATAAAAAATCATAACGAATTTTTAATTTTATTTTCTTTTAACCAGATCACCAACACATGCAGGTGGTCTTTTTGCAATAAATCGTAAATACTTTATATCATTGGGTGGTTACGATGAGGGATTACTCGTTTGGGGAGGAGAGAATTTTGAATTATCTTTTAAAATCTGGCAATGTGGTGGTAGCATTTTGTGGGTTCCTTGCTCTCACGTTGGTCATGTTTATCGAGGTTTTATGCCCTACAATTTTGGCAAACTTGCGCAAAAAAAGAAAGGACCTCTCATTACAATTGTAAGTATAATTGATTTGAATTTCACTGAAAGAAATTTGATTTTAATTTATTCTTTTGCAGAATTATAAAAGAGTTATTGAAACATGGTTTGACGATAAACATAAGGAATTTTTTTACACAAGAGAACCTTTAGCGAGATTATTGGATCATGGTGATATATCTGAACAGCTTCTTTTCAAAAAACGAAAACAATGCAAAAGTTTCCAATGGTATATGGATAATATTGCTTACGATGTTCTTGATAAATTTCCTGAATTGCCACCAAATATACATTGGGGCGAGGTAAATTTTTTTTTTTTTTTGATCGCTATTAATAATAACATTTTGAAGTTATTAATTTTGTAAACGATTTTTAGTTAGTGAACGTGGCAACTTCGGCATGTTTGGACACTATGGCACATTCACCCCCAAGTTTAATGGCAACATCCTATTGTCATGGATTTGGAAACAATCAAGTAAATTACTTAATTTTCAAAAATTTATTATTTGAAAGTACTAAATATAATTTTTTCCTTAGCTTATGAGACTGAATGCAAAGGGTCAATTGGGAGTTGGTGAACGTTGTGTAGAAGCAGATGAACAGGGTGTAAAATTAGTATTTTGTCGACAAGGAACTGTCGATGGTCCTTGGCAATATGATGAGGTATTATATTTAAATTATAAATTCATAAACTAGACTCAGAAAAGATCAAAACTAATTCTATAAAATTTTTTTTGCAGAAAACAAAAACTCTTTTACATAGAGTATACAAAAAATGTGTTGCACTTCATCCACAAACTCATCAATTATCATTAATGCCCTGTGATATTTATAATACATACCATCAATGGAGCTTCCATCAAATTCATCCCAAGTGGTGAAATAACGTATTTTAAATATGTTGAACGCTCAGAACATAAAAAATTCCTAAGGTAACTAAAAACAAAAACTGATGAAAAACTAATCAAATTATTCCAAGAATATCAGTTTTAGATTACTTGGTGAGAAATTAGGTTTTTAAGTCTGTACAAATCGAACAATTCCATTTTTAGAAACTTTTTTCAATTATAGATACATTATTTTTTTAATGAAATTAAAATTCATTACATTTTTTAAAAAAATTTTAAAACGCACAAATTGGAATTATTTCCTATTTCATAACTTTCATTATGAAGGAATTATTGACTGAATTACAAGAACACTTTCAATTAATTAATGTAAAGTACTTAAAAGAAATTTGTAAGATTAATATGTTATAATAGGTAGAAAAATGACTATGATTCCAGTTATTTACTTTATAATGGTTAGAATTTACAAAAAAAAAAAAAATAAGTAGTTGTTTTCCAATATTTGTTAAATAATTTTAAATCATGACAATAATAATGAATTTAAATTACATTTGACTAGTTATTCAATGTAAAATTAGAATATATTCGCTTTCGACCAGCTCAAAGGTATTGAAACTTTTTATAATATTTATGTAAAAAAAATAGGCATCAAATGCTTTATTTAAGGAAAATAGCTCTTCCTTTCTTTATTATAGAAAATTTTTAATCAAATGGGTTTATTCTACGTAGTTCTATAGTTTTATAGAAAGTTTTTTTCTGTAAAAGTTTGTACAATTACATAAAGCATATTGTTTCTCTTCACTTATTTCTTCGAAGAAATTATTTTCTTCTTCTACACTTAGAAAAAAAAGTATAATTAAATTTGTTACTGTATTATCAAGTATTATTGAATACATATATACTTTTAAACATAAGATTTATTGAAACTGAATATTTTAATAAAAATAAAAAGACATTTTACACAAATTTCAACTTTTTTCTTAAAAAGAGCCTTTTCCGTTATTTATTTAATAATTAGAGCTGTGCAAGTTTTTAAAATTCGAACCGCTCCATAAGAATTAACATGGGCTCGAATCGAATATTCGATTCGAGCCCATACAAAATTCGAACTTTTGCACAGCTCTATTAATAATGTATATGGTGTTAAAAAATGAAAAAAAAAATTCCAAATTTTGTAAGGAAAAAGATTGTTTTTATTTTTTAAATAATTTTATTGTGTTATAAAAAGTTAAAGAAACAAAAACTCGTGTCAATGTGAACGAGATGAAAAATATATTCGCAAAGCTGATGGTGATAAAAAAAAATAATTATTATTGCATGGTATTAATGATATCGTCAATTTTTAATATACTGCGAACGGTTTCGGAAGCAAGTGTTATTAAACTTGTGGACACTAAAAGCGGTTGAAAGACTTTCTCTTCGAACATGTTTGTAATGGCTCCTTTTCGTACATTTATTCCTGTTAAAATTTCACCTTGGGAGTGACGATTTCGCAGCTCTGTGACTGTTGCAATTGGATTTAAACCAGCGTTCTCAGCCAATGTACACGGAATGACCTGTAACAATTTTTTTTTATTTGTACCAAAGAAGAGATTTTTTTTCATAAATGATAAAAACAAACCTCAAGAGCGTTTGCATAAGCACGAACGCAATAACCGTCGACACCACCAAGAGTTTGTGCATAAGCTGCGAGTTTTAGTGCTAATTCAATTTCTGGTGCACCACCTCCGGCGATCAATGACTTTTGTTTAACTAAACAACGAATTACACACAGAGCATCATGCAATGATCTGTCGGCTTCGTCTAAAACTAATTTGTTACTTCCACGAACCACGATTGTAATTGTGCGACCTGGATTCTGAATTCCAGTGATCTGTCAAAAAGAAGAAAAAATGTATAAATTTTAAATATTAAATATTTTCTTCTTATTGCGATATTTTACCTTGACGAATTTTGAATTTCCAGTTGCAACTTCTTCGCACAATTCAGCGCTGGAAAGATTTTCAGCAGTAAAATGATCCAATGATGCAATTGGTCGACAACCAAGAGTTTTGCAAACATAAGAAATATCCTCTCGTTCGATATCCTTGATTACCATAACTTTAATCTTATCCAAAAAGTGAATGGCAAGATCACTTAAGGCATCACGAAGAATTGATTTTTGAATTAAGAGAACGTTACAGCCGGCCTTTTTGATTTGTTTTACAATATTAAGAATATAGGCTCTTTCTTCTTTTAAGACACGATCCATCGCTGAGTAATCGGAAACAACGACATTGTGATCCATCTATGAGAAAAAAGATTCCGTTTATATAAAAATTAATCAGTATTTTTTTCTATTACAAAGTTTATAGTACTAACGTCAGTTTTCGGAGGCGATAGACAAAATTGAATTAGACCAATTTTAGCTTTTTCAATGCGTCTTGGTCCATTGACATTTGAACTTTTTTGCGTGAACACGAGACCATCGATCAATTCTGTGTCTTCAATGGTTCCACCAAGTTTCTTAATCACTTTGATGTCCTTTAAAAATATTTTTTAATTAATTTATGTTATATTTTTTTAAAAACTAAAGTAAAGAAACTCACTTTCAAATCAACCGAACTCTCTTTTCCGGGTTCGGTAACTTTAAGAACAGCATCCACTGCCAAAGGAGCGAGAATACTTGAGTGTTGAGAAACAACCTGAAAAGAAAAAAATTTGGAATTATTTAATGAAATAATAATTTAATAATATTAAATATAAAAAATAAGGGGAAAAAATACTTTAGAATTTAAAGAGGTAGCTGCTGTTTCGACAAGAGATGCTTTGTCAGATAAATTGACAGCTACACGTAAATCCATTAAAATTTCAACAGCCTTTGTGGCTGCAATTTGAAATGCCTCACTGATCGAAGTTGGATGTATTCCTTTGCGCAGTAAATGATCTGCAGCTTCTAAAAGTGCACCAGCTACAATAACAACGCTAGTTGTTCCATCACCAGCTTCAGTATCTTGAGCTTTTGACAATTCAACCAGCTGAAAGAGAGAAAATTTATGTAAATTGAAATATTAATTAGAAATTTTAATTACTAATTATGTATACCATTTTTGCTGCAGGATGAACAACATTCATTTCTTTCAAAATAGTTGCTCCGTCATTTGTTATAGTAACTTCGCCATTTGATGATTGAATCTGAACAAAAATTTAATATATAAAATAAAAACCTTTGGTATATATTTTTAAAATAATTAAAAAAATATATATTTTTTAAATAATTAAAAATTACCATTTTGTCCATTCCGCGAGGACCCAAACTGGTACGAATAGCATCACTAACAGCTGTAAATTCATAATTTGTTTTATTTAAAACTAATTTCAAAAAGAATTACAATTTTTCGAAACATAACCTCAAAATTAGTACAGAAAACAGCTAATTCATTTAAATAAATCATATAAAATAATAACAGAAGTCATATCAAATTTTATATAATTTAAAAAAAAATTAATTCTATTTTTTGTTCATTTAATAACAAATATATCAACATTTTGAGAAAAATAAAATTTTAGAGCACATTTTTATTTTAATTACTTCAATTTTCAATGGAAATAAATTAGTAAGTTAAATTAAATTCTTAATTTTTTTAATTTTTCTAAACGGAGTCATTTATAAAATGTGGGTAAACCACAACCGGTCCAAGACATGACCATAAATGGAGAACTCCAACCAAGAATGACAGACATTATGATCGTGCTCCAAAAAATGTCATTAAACAAAAAAAAAAAAAAACAGGTAAATAATAAATTATAAATTTTTTAAATTATAAATTACCTTTTGCAGCATTAATATTACTGCTACGAATATCTGTGGGTTTAGTTTTATCTTTATAAGCTTGGGTGTGGGTGTTTGCAGTTAATTGAGTCATGTTTGATTTAATTCCTTTACTTTGACGATCAAGTTTATTGTAAATTTTCTGCAAAGCAGGATTTGTATAATTCCGAGGAGCGCTTTCGCGAGACACTTTTGCAAACTTTTTATTAAAAAACTTATTAAACAAGAAACAAAAGCTATTCGACCGCGTGCAGAAACAACTCGAAGGTCATGAAATATAAAAATAATTGAGAGGAAACAAACAGTATCAGAAGCGGTATGAACGGAAACTAATAAAATGCAATGGAAGTAAAAATTCGTAAAAGTAGAAAAAAGTTTTAAAAATATTAATTAACTGTCATAAAATTTTTATTTTATTCTCTATATTTTGATTAATTGTCTATTAAAAATATTAAATTTAAAAATTAAGTCAATTGAAAATGATAAATTTAAATTATTTCATCGAACCACCGCAGGATGGCGTTATAAAACTATCCAAGCATTTGATTGGTTACTGACATTGCTCTTTAAATTTTTTGAACATAGGTTATAATCAATCGTGATATTGTGCGCGGTTTTAACGGTTAAATTATTTATTTATTATAAATATTTTAAATTTAGTTTTTAAATTAAGTTAATAAAATAAAGAAAGTGTATACAGTGTTATCGTGCTTTTTATGTGTTATAAAATCGTGTGTTTTTTGTGATAAATATTAGAAGTACGCCAAAGATTAATTTTAGTTTTTTGATCGTTATAAGAACATTGGCAAAGTTTATAAAGTAATTTAAAAAGAAGAGGATCTTTTTCTCGATTATAATAAAGCTATCAAACTTTTACAATACAGAGTAATAACGGAATTGATTGTTTAATATAAAAATTACACATTTCCTTATACATGTAGTATTTAGCAACAGGACACTATCTTGAAATGTCAATAAAATGATGTTTATTGCAAAGAGCATCGTAAACCATGCAATTAAAAGTACTTTGTATTGTTAAAACCTGCTCTTTTGGAACATCGTTGAAACTTGCATAAAAGAACGAAGGTATCTATGATTTTATTGCCTTTTTATTATTCTTCTTATATATTGTTATTACTGTATAACAAAACTATTGTAAAGTTCATAAAAATTTTAAAGTTAATTAAAATATGAAAATTTTACAAACAAAAGATTTTCTCGCGTCATTAGATATTGACATTAGATGTCGATAATTAAATTATAACGAGTGAAAGCATTCAATTTTTTGATAATAAAATTATATTTTAAAATAAATGGAAATAAATAGATATTTTAGAAAATTAAAAATTATTTTTGCATAAATTGATGTGAAATATAATATTTTTTTCATCTCTCGATAAGAATGGAGATATGTGCTAAAATATAATATTTCACACGAGAACTCGTCCAGTCGTCCTCTAATTCTTTTTTTTTCATCATCCCGCAGGTAATCATCAGCAAGGCACTTAAAAAATTTCACCTTGGAGCAAAATGAATGGGGAGAGAAATTCTACGCCAGTGTAAGTTTAAGCTCGGCGCACAACGGTTAACTGTCGGCGCGGTTGCGATCAAAAAGTAACCAACACCGATCATCGGTCGATTTTCTCATCGAATATTTAAATTTTTGAATCAACATTTTAATATAAGTGAACAGTGAAAACAGAGAATTAGTTTATCTCGTGGTAATTCTTTGAAATATGAAAAATTTAATATGAGCAAAAAAAAAGTGGCAAAAATTTGAACGACCTTTAATAATTCCTGATGTGTCAGGAGGTATGTAAGCTCAATTCGTTACGGATGACGTACGCTGCAACATCACCTGAGCACCTGTTTGTTGTGCGAGCTAATCGCGACGTGTCGCAGCAGTGAAGTTTTTTCCAGTATATAAATTATACTTTTAAACAGTGCGCCGTGAGTTAAATTAAAAAATTGAACTCGTGATGTTTTTCCAGTCGAGAACAGTCTTCTCAAATGCGGTTTTGTTTGCGACGCGCGTCTTACCTGAATAGAAGTTAACAGTGTTGACAAGTGTTTTTCGTGTGTGTGTGTGCGAATAATAATATTAAACTCTGATGCTTGCTCAAAAAACATATAAAGTATTTTGCAACTTTCATCGGGAAAATTAAAGGCAATTAATCAAAGGAATTAATGAGATAATGACATTATCATGAACGTCCCTATAATTGCTGGAGATATCGACGATGAGGATTATAAGCCGCGCTTCGTTAGGGTAAGTTTTATTTTTTAATTACACGTAACTTTTAATCTCTATTCCTCTTTGTGACGTATATTGATTCACAATATTTGATAGCAAAGATAATATGTCGCAATCTATTTCTAATAGAATGTAATTCTCAGGTATCTGAAAGGGTAAAAGTTTAAAAGGTCTTATAGAATTAAATATACACTTTTATTTAAAAGACAGTATTTAAATTATGTACTTTTATTTTAGAAATTTGAAAATTATAAAAATAGAGTAACAAAACGAAAATATTCATATTTGAAGGAGAATATATTTTTTCTGTAAAATTCTGGAATATTCTTTTATAAATAATCGTAAAAAAATAGAATTTAATTCTAAAAAATTATCTACATAACCGCTGATAATTATCAATTTTCGAAAAACAAATTATTTAATTATTAGGTAAAATATGACTAAACATAATTTTAAAAAGTGATTTTTGTTATCAGTATAGTTGATTACTTTTTAATAGATGCTTAATTTTTCAAAAATAGATTTTCCAAAGTTATATCTTTTTTACGTTGTTCTAATTATTATATCTAGGTAATATAGTCATAATTAAGGAATCCATTGAAAAATTTATACTTATGCTATAACTACGTCATTTGCTAAAGAATAGTTGTTGTTATCAAAGGATAAATTTCTATATACAATTTTCTGACATAATCAACGTTTCTTTTGTTTTTAATTTGATGTTTCATTTTCTTATATATCTTCCATCTTTTCAAATCGTTATATAAATATTTTAAATTCCTAAAAAAATTTTCATTTTTCTTTTTTGATTTTTCAAATTAAAATTTTTGTTTGTTAAATTAAATTTAAATTTAAAAATTAAATTTATTAAATTAAAATTTTTAAAAATGTAAAAATAAGAATTGAATATTTTAAAAGGCAGTGTTAGGAATTTTAAAATCGGTAAAAAATAAAACGATATTTACTGTTCAAAAAAATTGTTGATAGTTTTAAATATTTCTCTATAGTTATATACCTGAAATTTTTTTTTGCCTCGTCCTAAATACATTCATATATTATTTCACAATTAACCAGTTATTCTCTATTGTAAACTTATTCATTCCATGTATAAATTTACATAAATCTCAATAATCGAGACTTGCCACTCACGTATAGGGTAATCATAATTTAATATTTTTCTTTAAACCCCGTTTTTATTTTTCAAACAAATTAATGTTTATAATAATAATAATAATAATAATAATAATAATAATAATAATAATAATCATCATCATCGAAGGTACATTTTCTTATGATTTAAAAATTTGTTCCATTCTTTTATAAATGCAAAAGTGCAAAATAATTATATTGTTGAATATAATTGTCTTTGCAAAAACATTTCGAAAGAATATATAAATTATTGAGTAAACATTCTTTAAAGAATATTACTTTAATTCGTCTTTAAGGAAAATTATTGTAATATTTTAATAATTGATTCTTGGTACGTGCTTCATAAAAAAAAATTTCATGGTATCGAAATTTATATAGATAAAACGCGTATCATTTCCGAATAAAGGGTTGAATCATTTTTGTTTATAGTTTTTAATGAGAAATCAAAATAAAAAAGTTCTTTCTTCATACAATGATTTTACACATATTGAGTGATTAGCCTTTGAAGTTGGAAATTTATGATTATGATTGATCGATTTGTCTATAAAATATAATTTTATCTGATAGTTTGATCGACTATGTCATTTCTATATTTTAGTTTCATTTATTTTATTTCTTCTTTTAACTATGTCTATTTTGACAATCTTTACAAAGACATCAATTCATTAAAATTTTTTCACATTGGGAGGTTGTCTTCGTTGAAAATAATATTCATTAATTTTTTTTTTTTTGTTTATTAAACATATTTGCTAGTTAATTATTATAATTAACTACAAAATCTAGATTAGAATTTTTATTTACATTAAGTGATTGGAATTTACAGGACTTTCCTTTTTAAACTATGATTAAATGTCAAACCAAATGTCCCATAAAACTGCAATATTTAAAAACTTTCTAAAGCTAAAGTTTAAATTTCTTTTTCGAAAACCTCTTATTAAGAATTGGAAATCATTAATAAATGTATCATTAGTTTCTCGTGTATACGTGCGATATTTTTCAAAACTTGTTGATTTGAATTTTTATCAAATTTTATATAAAAATTCATCTGAATAATTTAAAAATTTAAAGATAGTAATTTGAATTTTTATACAACCTGTTTCAGTTTTCATTTTATCAGAAGTGTATAATTAACACATCTGTATTTACTTAGAATGAGTAATGTTTGTTCAATTTTTGACTTTTTGATATGAGAACATGTATTTTGTTATCCACGCATGTTTTTTCTTTACGTTTCATATGATAAAATTATATAAAAAAAAATTATTAATTAATTTTTTCAAGTAAAATTCAATTAATATTATTATAATATTGTTTTTTTTATTCATAGAGTGAATACTTTTGTTAAAATATTATTTTTGTATATAATAATTATGAAATGGAAGAATAATTTTTTTTCTTAAATTGAGGTGGCCCTAGTTTTATAGTTTGAAATAAATCTTGAATTTTACGACAACAGGGAGTTGTTTCGCATTGTTTTCTTTTATCAAAAGAACAGTTCTCAACACTTTCTATTGAGCAAAGGGGATATATTCTTGTGTGTATTATATTCACACCACTTTCAGAGATGAACTCTTTTTGAAGACAAGTTTCTGTTTCAACAGAGAGGAGAGGATGAAATTTTACTTATATATATTATATATTCCAATGCTGATGAATGATCCTCTTTCTCGCGACTATCATTTTACAAACTTGCGACCTTCATTATATACGATTTGTATTATGTTCATATATATTTGCTATACATTAAACGAGTCGTTCCCCATATCATATACATTATAATATATATTCTCAAGCAAACTGTCTTCATGTTTCCCCTTCTTTATCTTTTTTTTCTCATCAGACGCTTTATTCTCTCTATATAATTCAAAGATATTATTTATTT